TTAAGCAAACGAGTGCATTAGGGACCACTCCCAGCGTCCATTGCACACCTCTGAGTTAGTGAGTGAGTGGTTGAGTGAAAGCGGCAGGAAGCTGGAAAAAATGTGAGGTGAAATTACATATCTGAGAAAACCTACAAATATAGGCCACTAAGAAAGGTAGTTCGATCAACAGAAGGCCAAGCTATGCGTTGATCTTGTTACACATTCAAAGTGGTTTTTGAATGGAAAGTTGCTTATCAGTCGAAATTTGAGCCTCTAATATTTTCCTAAAAGTGGAGTGTTTGACAGTGGTTGGACAAAGAATTTTCACACTAGCGTGCCTGTTAAAGCAACTGTTGTAAAGTTTGGTGTCAACCAGAGCATTGGCAATGAATAGTTGCTAGTATGAAGTTTATTGTTTTTTGACTAGATCTTGGTTCCTCCTAAACAATGTTTTACCAAAAGCATCAGACATGAGCAGACGTTTAACAGCAATAGGGAGGCAGGCTAATGAAAACAATCAAAAATTTTTCCTTTTTACGGTAGCATCGGCATTCGAGGCTGCCGATTCCATCGTTGAAAACCGAATTTTGGAAGTCCACTATCACAAGACTATTTAAAGACTGATAAATGTCTTCAAATGTCGAAGTCAAACAAAAATTTGTGTTAAATTTTCCTCCGCCCACTATTGTCGAGATGGTACGTTAGCACGCTGGATGACTTAGTTATGAAAATTGGCAAGCCTGATAGGGCACCGTAAAGTCCTGAAGACATTTACGGCACTGCCATGAAACACAATTTCTGCCTGATTGTCTTACTAACTCCCAGGAATTGAATTACTCGAAGCGTTGTGATGAATAATGGAGGGAAAAGACTAAAATAGATTCAATGAGCTGAACGTTGAAGAAGCAAGCAAATGAGTGCAGCATTTACAAGGGTTTACGAAAGCTGAAAGAATGTAGTGGCGCTTGAAATTCTAAACAGGTGGATAAAAAGACCTCATTGTAGCCTGGTCCATTGAGGCGAGGGAACTCGAACCACTGGGACAGAGTGAACAAAAGCATGGATAGGGTAGAGCATTAGTATGAAAAACAATTAAAAATTCATGCATAACTTCAAAGCATATGGAAATATCCCATTTTGTTTTGCTTAAAACAAGTAATTTTAAGCTCCAGCGCAACAACTTCGAAAAACCAAAATTGACTAAGGCTAGAATAAGTAAAGCAGCGATTTTTCATATTTCTATGTAGATTTACGAAACAACCTGAGGAGGACAAAATTTTGTTAAGGCTTCCAAAGAACCAACACGTGATCCAACTAAATGTAGTAAAAAGTCAACTATGGTGAATTGAATAAACCTCTTCACACAAAAGCCATAAGCATACATAGGTACATACAGTGTAATATTTATAGACAAAATAGTAAACTGCTCTGATAATTTTGTCTCTGCAGGACTAAAACTCATCAGTGGAGCGGCTCTTGAAACGCCCCTCCGGGGGCTGCTTGTTTCGCCATCTGACACAGCAGCAGCACAGAACACGAGAAAAGCCTGTTCGGTAGGTCTGGTTCATCCACGCGTAAATGAAGGGGTTGTAACAGGAGGCCGAGCTGCTCAGCAACACCACGAAGGTCCAGGCAATGGCAAGGTCACGAGAAGCCCAGTTCACCACCGTGCCGTAAAGATAGATCACGTGGCGTGGCAATTGCGATATGGCGTAAAGCGCTGATACAGCAATCATCATCTTTACCATCTTAATGGATAAAAAATATGCGCAACTTGCTGGACTGCAATCCCACGGAATGCATTAAAAGCCAATATTTTCAATGTTTATGAGCCCATGGATGCTTACTAAGAAGAGTGGTGGCGAATTTGGACTACATGAAGAAAATTATCCTCTGGTAGATGATGCGATTGATTGTCCCATGAAAAGGTGCCATTTAATGAAAGTTCCACATCGAATACACGCTAAAATTTTGACATTTTTATCGCTTCACCTTCACTCTGTCCCATCAACATTGACTTCATTTTCTTCAGCATTAATGGACATTGCTAAAATCGCTCTCCTATTTTACGAAACAAAACTGCCCAGAAGAGAACATAATTAGGATGATTTTATGTCTCAAAGATATGTGTAAAGATATGTGAAGAATAAAATGCCTAACGTTGATATGGAGTTAGTATCAGGGCTGAGCTTGTCTGAAATCTTCATTGGTTGTGGGAAGAAATTCCTGTTAGAAGGGTAGGGAGGAAGGTCTTCTGATTAAACTCGGAGAACTTGATGATACCGCCGTAAGTCTTGCTGTCCAACTAGTCTACGCTTTCTTTATGGCGTGTGAAGTAATAGATGGAGATATTGCGTAAATTAAATTGGTTTCAATTCCAGAACCAGATGAAGAAAACACCCTTTTCACCGACATTGTGCAAGCGCGATAAAGTTCCTTTGGCAAAATTTCGTTTAACTCTAGCTTAAAGGCACTCGTAGCAAGGCTCTGCTTCAGCAAATTTCATTTGGCTCCCCGCAGCAAACCCCTGCATAAGTGGTTCTAAGATAAGCGGTTGAATAAAATAGGCAGAAAAATGGAAATGCATAAGTAAAAAACTTTAATAGCTGTCCACATCATCCTTAATGTGTTTTGCTTTTAGTCAAGGGAGAATATGTAGAATAAAATGATTGTAGCATTGCAATACGCGCGAAACCACTTAAAGAATCGCTTAAATGTGATAACGAAGGATTCTATGC